AACGATCTCGAAGTGGACTGCACGAGTCAAGAGGCAAACAAAAATTGCAACATAAATCTTGTGCACTACGCTCTTCTTCTGAGTTGTATACTTTATACCAAAAGGACCACAAAAGTCAACACCAGTATGGTAAAGGGAAAGGATGGATTCAGTCTCTCTAATGGTAAATTTCCCCTCTTTTGATCCAGCAATACTGGTTTTACTTTGGCACACATAACACATTCTCTTACTATTTTTCTAGCAAGATTACGCCCACTTATCGGCCAAAATTTTTTGTCTAACACTATGCAAGAGCGCTTGTGCTCCAGTATGAAAGTTTCGAATATGGTAGTGTAACATAATTAAATGAGTCAGTTTATGATTTTTGGCAGGACAGCAGGGTGCTTTGTGTTAAAGAGTAAGTTAGCTTCCTGCAGTCTACCACCTACTCTAATAACTTGAGATTCATCTAAAAAGGGACATAAAAATTTTAACTGACTATTTTTACATACTTCCCTTCTCTTACTTAAGCGGTTGCGGCAAACAAGGAGAGCTGTGACTTATTTAAATATTCAATGTTTGGAAGGATTTCTGCAAGTGTAAGTTCTTGATTTCCACAATCGATAACGGCATCGGTGGCACGGAAAAAATTCCATCCAAGTATCATTTGATGACTACATTCAGGAAACACAAGGAATTCAAACGGCTTTTTAGTCCCATTCAAATCAACTTTCAATACACAGCGTCCCGAGGCAGCTACAGTTTTACCACAGGCAGTTTTCAATACAGGTCCATTCTCAGCAAACATAGGAGCATTTAGCTGTCGACGTAACTGTTCAGATATGACAGAATAATCGGCACCCGAGTCAACAAGGGCTTTCACACACTGTCCGTTCACGGTGATAAAAGTGTTATTCTTTTCCAACTTGGCTGTGGTGTACGTCGGAGGATTTTCTTCAACTGCGGCCTCACCTCCTGTACAGGTCGCTTGAGCTAGTTTTCCTCATTGGTTCGGCGTGGGGAACGGCTGGAACCGGCGTACTGGTGACTGCGATTGTCGGCGGTTGAGAGAGCGTCGCGGATAAGGTGAACTGCTCCTTATTCGGGAAGAACTAGGTTGTGGCATATTCGTCGTCGAAGCTGTATGTAGATTCAGTATCCCTGTCCCGTCGAGGGTTGGACGTCTTTGCGGCTCTTGCATTTTCAAATATCTCTTGCATTTTCAAATATCTGGCGTCTTTCCCTACAGTACCTCAGAACATGTCCTGGGCGTCCGCAATGAAAACAGAGAGGTACATTATCGTCAGTCCTCCACAGATCTGTCCTACGTTGTGGAGCAGTTCTCTGGCTGGCTTCACGTCTTGGTTGCGACCTAACTGGAAGTGAACATTGGGTAGTGTTTTTGCTTCTCCCTGCTCCTGTGAGTGGTGCCAGCGCCTCTATAACCTCTTCCCGGACCACAGATGCTATGTCATTCGGTGCTACGGGTTCTATTTCCGTGTAGCCCTGAACTTGCGTAAGGACCTTCTGAAGCTCTTCCTCTGACGATGGTGCGCACTATAGACTTTAGTTCACCTGGCGTCCGCATCGGCCGAGACCCGCGGAGACATTAGGCAGCCTCTGGAATCGTGATCGGGCGATACGTCTTCGTCGAAGGCTTTCTATGTGACGGCAGCGTTTCACGAAGGCATCGACGCTGTCATAGTCCTGGGACGACAGGACCTGGTACAAATCTTCAGCAATACCTTTCATGAGGTGGGCCACTTTTTTCGTCGTCAGACATAGATGGGTTTTACTTTCCGGCAGAGAGCGAGAACATCTTGAATGTATGCTTCAGACGTCTCATCGATTTGCTGAGCACGTGTCAGTAGTACTCGTTCAGCTTGGCGCTTTGCATCAGCTGCTCGGAAAAAGGTGTTCTTAAGAGCAGTCTTGAAAACAGCCCAACTGGTAAATGTATCTTCATTATTATCGAACCACTTTCGAGCGGTTCCGCCAAGGTAAAAAATGACGTTCGCCAGACACATTTGATCATCCCAGTGGTTATAGTTGGCGATTCGATCAAAGTCCTTGAGCCATCTATTAGTGTCTTCTTGGCTATCCCCGCTGAATATACACGGGCTTCTGGGTAGTTGGTACGTCAGGATCGGTATTGGTGCGATATTACTTGAAGCGGAACTGGCTGCTGGAGAATTCTGCTCGGATTCCTTCTCATCCATCATCTTTCTCGATCTTTTACGCGAATCGTGTAAGAGCCCAAACTCAGGAGGAAGTCCTCGAATCCGCAGGCTTCGGCGTAACACTGCCGTAGTAACTGAGAAATATCCGGCGCCTCCACCAAACTGTCGCGTAGATGAGGGGATCCTACTAATGAACAGGCAAGTACAAGTCTAAACTCGAGACTTTTTATTAACTAGAACTGAATGAAGAGCTACTTATATACAGCTGGTGAACATGCTGAAACATTCCAGACTTGGAATGTTCTGGAAGAATAAGAAGGAAATTTACATAAATAAGATAACATTAACAACAAGGATATTTACATAAAAACCAATTATCGGGCATCTTGCCGTTGATGGGTTTCGAAACCGGTACTTTCAGGTTTCGAGTCCTGCGCCTTCTCCGCTAAGCTATGAGGAGCTCGGTTGAAAAGAGCGATTTTCGCTACAATATAATGAGAATTAAAGTTTATTTTAAAGACTTATGAAATATACATGATCAAAATAAATTAGAAAATTATAAATTACGTGTTTAAGTTGCAATAATTCAGTTCTAATAATTAATACTAACAAAACCAAACATCATATTCCCGTTCTGCAAAGTATAAAAATTCTTCTGCAAAGTATAAAAATTCTTCTGCAAAACTGCAAAAATTACCTATACTTTGACTTATTTGATAACTTTCAAATTCACTCTTTGTTTTTGATTTTAAAAAATTTCACTGGCGTAATTTCATTCACTTCTGTATGCATTAATAGATGCAGAAGGTTTTTGTACCTTACATAATTTTAAACCTTGTGTAACCTTACGTAATTAATAAAAAATCAAAACATAGATCAGAAACTGCATAAAATTTAATTAATAATTACTATTAGTGTCACGAAATGCTATGAAATTAATCAATAACATAAGAATGAGATAAAATGTATAGAATTAATATTCCACATGTGTGAGTTTGGAAGTTTTACGTTGGAAACTTTTCTTTAAATTAATTATTTTTAAAAATGGCCTTCCGTAATTAGAACATGTGTGTATTGTGATTTTTTCCGCCTACTCATCATGATCATGCACATTCACATGCACCTCTCTAGCAACGCCTCTCCTGGTCTTTGAGCTTATCTGAGTTTTTCGCTGCTTGTGATGTTTTGAATCACACCCTTCTTTTTCCAAGTCCGAAAATCCTCCTACCGCGTCTTGTATGTGCACTTTCATGCGTCCCTGCGGCATAACTATCATAATGTCGCGTATTCACTGCGATACTCCGGCATAAGATGCATTGATTGATTGATTGAATTTGGAGAGTGGGAATTGAAGGACCGCGAATTTCGAAAACTGTTTTGCTTATTCAGTGCACTATGGCTTTGTGCATTGTAATGATGATACAATTAGTTTTCGTTCTTGCACAGGCGAATGATTGTATGATTACGTCTTCTTTCAATCGCCTCAGAACTTCCCGGGAAACACTTCATAGGAGTTTCGTTCTAGATGGTTCATCATCGGAGCACTCTGGTCGCACATAAGCAAACTGTACGGTGCTGGAACAGCCGCTTGAAGACCTTTTAAAGCAGTACTATTAAGTCCACTCATAATGATGATGCCATATTGCTGGAAGTTTACATTCTGCTTTTCATATGCCAGCAAAACATGCTAAAACCCAGCTGGCAGGAAATGTTTCAGTTGTCCTACGGCAGAATGCACAACAAACCAATTCTTCCAAAATGTTTCGTTTAAGTTATGATGTTGTAAGATTCTCTACTGTCTATCTTAAGTTACACTTAAATGTGAAGAATCTTAAGAACTCGTAAGCGAATAATCGCTTGAGTTCGTGAGACAGTAATTAAAAGTTTGAAAGGGTTAAAAGATACTTTATTATTCAAATAAGATTTAACAGAACTCCGTCTTGGAGTTTTACAATAAAGCCGACACTCGGGCTTGAATTTAGGAATCTAAGAGTTAAAACTTAACTAATCTTAACTGAAAAGATATAGCCGAGCTATCAAGATTTTAACGGAGTTGGCCCCTTATTGACTGCGAAGCTATTAAGGGCCTAAAGTACGGCCGAGCGTAATAATTAATAGCTTAAGAGAGAAGAGAGCCTTAAAAGGCGGACGCGTGCTAGCCAGAATCTCTGGTTCTCTCTAAGACAGTAGAACTTCGGTTAAATACCGCTCTTCCTCAATTTGCATTCGAACATGACTCTAAAACTGCGTTCTGACCAGAAGTGGTAAGTTCAAATTAAGAAGCGATATGAAAAGGAAGTTTAACTCAAAATTAAAAGATTTGGGAACCTTGGGGTCTTTATGTTGAGGTGGTTATTATATTGTCTCGAGATTCGAAATTGTGCATAACATTTATTATTAGGATCTGCAACGTTGTTCCGGTAGAATGCATTCAGGCCGAAACGATGAGCATGGTAGACAGGAATACATTAAAAACTTTTAGCAAACCAATCATGATGTATGCGCTGACATGCGGACATAAATGCGTACAGCTATTTTAAAGTGAATGGGGATTAGGTTTATTCAAATAAGTTTTCAAACCGTAGACCTTGTTATTTTGTTTCGCAGCAAGTTGAATAAAATATTGAAAAAAGAAATGGAACTGTCTATACTTGTAAGTTCGTCTACAAAAGCAAATTTAATAAATCAATCAAAATGTACATAAATGATACTGAAGTATTTAGTTGCAAATATGTACATATTGAAGCATTTTGTTTCAAATGTTTCTGTAAAATTACTTTTTTTCGTATTCTTTTTTTTTTTTCTTTAAACGTATATTTGAAATATTACTTTCAGAAAACTGGGAGGAACAACTATTCCTACTTGGCAGAAGAATTTTGGAAATAATTTGCTTTGGCAAGAGAAACCTGAAATTTAATGACTTGTTATGGAAAAGCTGGAGTTCCAAGTCCAGGAGCAAGATGAGAAAGAAGTAGTCTCTGTTTCTCCTGATTCGGGCGTCAGTCTGTGCGAGTCTGATGACAGCGGCAAAGAACAGGAATGCTCCTTAAGTGCGAAAGGTTCGACTGAAACGCAGAGCAAACTGTGTGATGTCAGGTCTTCCCCTGAAGCAAAATGTTATTCTCCGAATACACTAGATCCATTCTTCTACAAATATGGAGGTTCAGATAATAGAAAACTGACATTACTCAAATCTTTGAGTCAAGATAGTGAATATTCTTTAGATAGCTCCCTCTTCGATGCCGAAGAATTTCTGCAAGAACTCGGATTTGCGGGAACCAGCGATCCCACGATTCCAGAAAGATTTCTACCTTCCCTTTTACAGCGTCTTTCCCAGTTCCCAGAATCAGGTAACATTAATGTTATTAATTTTAATTCAATAGTGGTATTTAAATTTGCGGAGTGACGGTCGTAATGTAACGTTCTGTGACTGATGACTTTTTGAAATTTAAATTAGCTGATAATTTGTTAGATTTATTCATATCTGTCTTCGTTATAGTTGAAGGTTAAGTATTGTGTGTGCTTAATAGTTCATAGAAGGAGATTATATGATATAGCAGAATGTACCGCATTTCCTCGTGTATTGTGCCCACCCCAGCTTTTGACCGCTAGATTCTAATTTTTTTTTATATTCGCACATAGTTTTCCCTTTCTTCTGCTGTACACAGATTATCCCTCTAAAGGTAGTTTATCGTCAAATTATGTTCCCTTATTTTTTTATTCAGTGTATTGAATTTGTATTAGTTTCCATTCACTTTACCTTGCATTTATTATTTGAAACGTATTTTGTTCAGATTCCTTCACTAATCTACCCGGACATGGCAGGTTTTCTCACACGTAAGAAACTTTCGAAACAAGTGATTTCACCTTACTCCTATTATTTACGTTCCAGTTCATTGTTTATCTTACCTACAGCTGACGTGTTTGATCTTTCGAAATTCGGGTGTTTCGTATGCCTTTCTCTTCTCCATTGTTCCTTCGATGTTCTTGAGAATTGTAGTCAAGACTCATTCATGTGAGGTACTCCCAGAACTTTACAAGGTAACAGAGCCGGATACATCGCGCTCCAGCTCAGCTACCGTCAGGTATTGTATTATTTTTATCGGAATGTAGGTTTCTTTTGAAGAAATAATATTATGATAGTTACCAGTAGTTTAGCCATGCCTACGTTTCATTTGTTATATTCTTACTGTAACCGCGTTCTTCAAAATTTAAGTGATTCGCATAATTCCCCCCCCCTCGAATTTTTGGACGATAAAATTTGTTTAAAAAAAAAAGCGAAAATACGCGAGGAAATATGGTATACAGGTAACCCTCGTACAACACGGTAGATAGGTTCCCAGAAAAGGCCGTGTTGTATGAGACGCAGAGTTAGTACAAATAGGGGGGTTACGTTCCGTAAACTTATTAAAAACAAATGTTTTTTTTAATTCTACATAAACAATTTAATTTTTATTAATCGCATATATGTATGTACAACACAAAACAGAAATATTACATATTTTAATTTAACACCACTTTAGTTTAATAAATTTCTTCTTTGTCACTGCTCAGCATAATCAACCGAGAACGTTTTTTTCGGTGGAATAAGATCGCTTTCACTTTCAGAATTTCTTTCTTCATTTAAAGTTCTGGCATTTTCTTCCCTCTTTAAAAAATCAGTAATTTTATTTGCTTACTAGTTCTTACCGGGTCAATGTAAATTTCTCGATATAGAGCTAGACAGTTTTGCAGCTCCCGTTTGAATTTTCGGCTTATTTCAGCGGAAAGGGTCTGTACTCAACAGAAATGATTCGAAATTTTTAGCTAGGCTTAGACCTTCTTTTAATTTTTTTAATGTTAGATTATTAACTGCATTATCTTCTTCAGTGGTAGTGTTCTCAGAATCCGATTTGATTTATAGCTTCGGATGCCATTTTCATCAAATCTGCTTCGTCAATTTCTTCTTCCGCTAATAAATCTTAAACGTCCTCAATAGCCATGTCGAAAAACCCTTCGCCGCCAATTGATTTAGCAAGTTTTAATAAGCCAACAATTTCATTTTCTGACGATTCACGCGCGTTTTCTATTTCATCTGAAGAGGGATATATCTTCTTCTAATATGCATTTGACGCTTTCAGATCTTTCAGAGACAAAGATATGATGTCGATACAGGGCTTGATTGAAAGTGTCTTTCAAGCTTCCATTACCTTAATTGATTTTGAATCGGTTGCGTCTAAAATGCACTGGAATACTCTTCTTATGTAATATGTTTGATCCCAATGGTTGGAGTAATGAAGCAGTGGTAGGTTGTAGGAACAGTATTTTGACTTTGGAATGATTGAAATCTTGTGGGTGACATGGAGCATTATTTAATAGTAATAGAGCCTTGAAGCTCAAATTTTTCTGCCTTAAATAACGTTCAGCGTCTGGCCTAAAACAATTTAAAAGCCAAGATTTAGCTTCATAATCAACGTCTTAGCAGCGTCACAATCAGCCGATGCAAATTCTCCTTGAATTCTTATGCTATGAGCTGCAAGACGCTTTTTGAGATTTTCGAACTAATATTTACTTGCCGGAAAATATGGTGTTGACAGAGGATTCTCCGTGTTCTTTAAGGCGCTTGAAAATTTTGAGTGCTTTTTTATTTAATGATATTAACATCCAACGGAATTCTTTTTGACAGCTATCATCAATCCAAGTGCTGAGTGCCTTTTTCATCTTGTAAGTTATTGGCGCCCTGGGTAGGGCGAACTGCACGTTTTGCGAATGACAAAGATCCAACTTAATCCATTCTTAATAGTCCGGAATGTTGTTTCATTCAAATTAAAACTTTTCCCAATGTGAGATGCCTTTTCTCCTCTTAAACGGCCAAAATTTGTACCTTTACTTCTAAAGAAATGAATTTCCTCTTAAACATTGTTTTTTTTATCTTTATCAGACATGTTTTGGGACTGAAACTTACTGTCTTAAAGATGAAAAAGTTATTCTTTAACACACCGTGGCTAGACGCAGACTGCCGACCAGCAGCGTGAGACACTTTTGTTTTCAGGCCACGGAGATGAGGATTCGAATTTTGGAAGCCAAACGTGCAGGTTGTGCGTTTTAGAGCACTTATTGTGACCTCATGTTGTTCACTTTCTTTGGTAGGGAGGTTTCTTCATTGTTATCTGGTGATTGTGGTGATATTGATCGTTAAATTTATTCGGATAGCTTAGGCAATTTTCTTATCGTGTTAAAGAGAAACCGTGTTATAAGAAAACCGTGTTGTAGCGGGATTCTCGCAATTAAAGAATCGTGTTATAGCGAAACCGTTTTACAGGATGCCGTGTTGTAGGAGAGATTCCTGTATGACATAATTGAATAAAAATGTCATAAAAAAAGTACGCAGCAATGTTGATAGCGTAGAAAGTAGATCCATATTGAAGAGGAAACTTGGTAGCCGAGTAAAATTAAATATCCGACTTTATTTCAATTCACATTAGCAGCCACAATTTACTTGACACTCTAATTGTGCCTTTATTATCATAGGATGACTTGGAGAAAGCTGCAACTGATTGGCGATGGTTCTTTGAATTATAACTTGGAGAGGCTTAGCTGCGTAGTTAGAAAGATGATACTCGAAGACAGAAGTAGCCGTAAATTCCACACGTAATTTCATTCCTGGGTAATGAATTCTGAAGACACGTATTCTTTTTCATTTCACATCATCAATGTGGTGACCTATTCACCTCACAATTTTACACAGATTATATTTTTTAAAACAATGGACAATAGCTGACAGAGGCTCAGAGAGCGAAATAGCATCTTAACAGGAAGAGAGGTTGGAGCTGAAGTGCATAATAATCCTGTATGGAAACTCACTAAGGGAAGATTTTCGTTTAGATTGTTTATTAAAAGAAAGGTTTCAGTACTCGGAATTTTTAGATTCCAAATTAGCTGTTCCATCAGCGTCATGCAAGCCATGTGATATAGACTGATCTTGAAATGACGCAGTCCAGAAAAGCTATTTTTATTTTTAGAACAGAAAGGGGAAATTAAGGGCTGTTGCTAGTTTAAATTATACTTTTGAGATTTTCATATTTCTAATCTTACACACACACACACACATATATATATATATATAGTGAAGCAGACTGAGATGTAACGATGTTGTAGAAACATTGATTGCACCGAATGGTGATCCATAATGAAAAGCAAACTTAGCAGCAAAGGGAAATTAAATATTCATCTTTATTTCGATAAACATGTCGCAGCCACAAATAACTTGGCACTGTAATTCGTGCCTATTTCAAAAAAAAAAAAAAAAAAAAAAGTTTACATTTTTGGTAGCGTTGCAGTAAGAAGAGAGTAGCAAGCAGTAGTCTAGTTATGCTCAAGAGCTGAAAAATCAGGTGACTTCTGTTAAGAATGAGATCTTAATTCCGAATGAGTTAGTTTGGGGTCTGAATGAATTTGATTGAATAATTAATACTGCTATTAAATTATTAATGGCTGCTTGAGTTTTAGCTCTATTTACGTCACCAGCATTGCGTAAGAGTTATACGACATGGATTAGTCTCCAAATGACGCAGTGCAGAAAAAGACTGTTATTTTTAGAAAAGAGAGGTGAAATACTCAAATTAAATTAAGCATTAAGGAGTTATTGCTAATCTAAATTATAACCTATGTTTACATATTTTTCCTTCTTACATATTTGTACAATATAAGAACAAATACAAAGTAGAAAGTAGTCTGAAACCTAATCCATTCGAGCGCTGAAATCAGCAGCAAGTGGTAGTATAAGGTATTTCTCCTGCTTTCTTAATATGCCTTCGTGGTGTGATGGTCAGCACACTCGGCGCGTATTCGAGAGGTCCGAGGTTGGAGTCCCGTCGAGGGCATTGCACATTTTTCAGTCTCTCCTTCTTTCAAAAAATAACTAATGTCTCTACAGTGGTAATAATGCAGAATAAATTAATATAATAATACGTTTAAAATTCGTCCTATATTCAGTTCGGAATAAAAATATGCAAAAAAACAAAAAATCAGAAGCACACTGACAAACTGCATGAAAAAAAGAGCAAAACATGTCAAAACCAAAAATGAAATATTTAATTTTCATCTTTCGCTGCATCGTCATCGGGTGGCTGGTGCAATGAAAGAAGTAAATAAATCAGAATGTTTCTGAACGAACAAACACAAAAATTAAAGCTTAAAATAATCTCAGAAAAACCATTAAAGGAATCTGTGTCTTTATTCGTCTAACCCCTACAGGCCGAAGTAAGCAGGGTAAAAAATACCAAAATTACAGGACCAAAAACATAAACAAATTTTAAAATATTATTTTGAGCAGACTGAGTCCAAAAAATAAATAAATAAAATAAATAAAAAAAACCATGGACATATAAGCAATCCAATGTATGAATGAAAAAATAGAAATCAATGTAAATTTTGAATCCATACAGGTCGGGTTAAAAAATTAAAAAAAAAAAAAAAGTCGGAATGTTTTCAGATTTTATATTACGCCCAAAGGGGCGTATTTTTTAATGTTTTGTGTGTTACCTTTATTTATTAAATATCATGTTCTTCGCACTTAAATCATAAAATTCAATTCAACAGCAATATCACAAAATATTTTAAAAAAAAAGCATATCTTTAGAGTTTCCAATACACAATCTCACGCGCTGGAGATAATGTTTTTTTACTGTACAGTGTTGCCATTGCTTGCTTTGAAATTGTTTGAGTTTGTTAATAAAAAATTCGTTAAAGTTTTACAAACTGTGAAATAGATAATAAAACAAATTCCAAATTTGGACTTCCAGATGCCCCTAACGAGGGGAGGACTACGCTATTCAAAATTTGATGTGGTACTTTTTTTTTTCACAGTGCGAGAAACATACACACATTCTTGCAGATTCTTCATTATTTAATTTCCTTAAATGTAAGGCAGGACTCTAATATTTGGTGGCAACAATTTGGAAAGTGAAACGCCGTTTTATACTGGACGACGAAAATGCCAAAAAGAAATTAATAGCCCTTCGGGGTAAAGAAATTTTTTTTTCATTATGGCAACGAAATCATACTGTTTAGGATATGATACGAAATTGAAAGAAATGGCTCGTTCTTCAAGAACTGGGATCCCAACCAGGGTGAAATCTCCCCCCCCCCGGGGTAAATTTTATAGTTGCAGTGGAGATGCACTCAACATTTTATTTATCTGTCGAGTATTTGTTTTCAGTTTATAAATATAAAAAACTTTATGTAATAAGATGACTTGGTGAAAGAAAGTTGCGACGGACTGACGATGGTTATCTGCATTATAACTTGAAGAGGCTTTATTGCGTAGTTAGAGACAGAGCTTAAATTGCGCCAGTCCTTCTTAGTTTTAGGGCCCACCAGCGGCCGAGCGGTAAAGACGCTGAACACTGGTAGTTCGGTCCAAGGTTCGAAGTCGAGTCCTTCGTACTGAATTATATTTTTCATACTGTTTTATAAACAAACGGCTTACAGCTCAGCAGAATTAGCCGTGCGGCTTGACCTACGCGATAGCTTCTTTACCAGTGGAGAGAATTCCGAGAAATTTGAGAAGTATACTCCAATAACTAGGCAGCGCAAGAGTAAATCATCGTGGATACCCTGAGTCTTGCTTCTCTAAATTTGTCTTTACGCATGGGGACGAAAGACGACCGTCAGTGAAACGAGGTAAGTTCGTGGCATGGGTTTGGAGTAGCAAAAATCTCCCCGTACAAATTTCACCTCAACCTGGAAAAGCGCGGAATAAGCCCGCTCGCGCCATGAAGCCCACAGTAGGACAAACTGTCCTCCCCTAGTTCCTTTCTGATTTTTACTCTCTTGAAATTTCAATCAAATCTGCTCTCTGCCCTCATGAAAGGCCTGAGGAAAACCCGATTTTTACAGACATAAACACCCCCAAAATATTTTAGGTAGAAAGATTAAATTAACATTATGCTCTGACCATTCCGAGGGAAATTTCTCCCCTCAATCCAATTTTAAAAAACGTTGCTGTCAACAAAGACTGACACCCTTCGCATCTGCAGATGGCTTACTAATACCCCTGAGAAACAAAATGGATCCCTTTTATCTTTCCAAGCAGGAAACTTCATATCCTGTGTTTAATTGCAAACCAAGAAGCTCGTTATCCTTTTCCTTCAAAAAGGAGCAATTTATTTCGTAAACTGAGATATTGTGCTCAATCAACAAAGCGATGAAAACGGAGAACAGCAACTTCCATACACTGACCATTGTGAAATTTATTCCCTGCTTTACTACCCCCAAAACAGATTGTCCAGAAAAACTCCCTGACGATAGAAAGAGCCTGAAACAACAAATAACAACTGAGACTTTAATTGCCACAATGAAATCCAGACGGTTTCATTTAATTTAAAAAAAAAAAAAAAAAAAAACTTAATACACGATTAATTTAAATTCATGAGTGAGTAGTTAAATTTTTGCGACATGGACGTCTTAAAATGTTTCAGTCAAATTTTGCGTTATACACTGCAACAATATGCTTGATCTAATGTATCTCAGGGCCCACCAGCGGTCGAGCGGTAAAATGGCTGAACACTGGTTGTTCGGATAGAGGTTCGAATCCCGCGAACGAGCTGGCTGCATGTGTGTTTTCGTGGTTTTCCCCATGTGTAACGTGTATACGAGCCAGTTTCCCTCAGAAAGTCCTCCACGAAGGCATCCCTCCTCTTACTCAGATAGCCCTCGAGGCTTTGCCATAATCACACACACTAATGTATCTCAGTAATGATTTAGTGACAATACTGGTGCCAAAGCTGATGCAACAAGTATGGCCTCACTGGACGGTTAAAAAAACCTAGCTCCGGCCGTGTTCAATAGAAATTATAAAGATTACGTACTGTGTCCTTCTAAGTTACAGTTGAATGTGAAGAGTCTTAAGAACTAGTAAGCGAATAATCGCTTGAGTTCGTGAGACAGTAAATAAACTTGGAAAGGGTTAAAAAACCCTTTATTATTCAAATAAGATTTAACAGAACTCCGTCTTGGAGTTGTACAATAAAGCCGGCACTCGCGCTTGAATTTAAGAGACTAAGACTTAAACTAAACCAATCTTAACTAAAGAGATATAGCCGAGGCTATCAAGATTCTAACGGATTTGGCCCCTTAACGCTAATTGACCGCGAAGCTATTAAGGGCCTAAGGTACGGCCGAGCGTAAGAATAGTTTGAGAGAGAGTAGCCTAAAAAGGCGAACGTGTGCTAGCCCCACTCTCTGGTTCTCTCTGACTAAGACAGTAGAACTTCGCGGTTAAATACCGCTCTTCCTCACTTTGCATTCAAACGCGATTCTAAAACTGCGTTCTGGCCGGAAGTGGTAAGTTGAAATTAAGAAGCGATAGGAAAGGAAGTTTAACTCAAAATTTAACTGTTAATAAAATTAACATAATCCTTACGAAATTATTGCGTAATAAATTTTTCTATGCATTAATAAGTATGTTTTATTGGACAGTTAATCAACATAGCTAGATTCACATTAAATCTGTATTCATTTGCTATTAATTAGCCATGACAGCGTAAATCAAATTTTTTTAAGCTAATCCTTATTATTTTTTTCTGAAGACACACATGCATACGTACATGCACAGAAATCTGCTGCAACTTTTTAATTTATAAAACAAGATCAATTATAGATAATTTGTATGATTTTGGAAACTTTCGCGCTAACATTTGTTTGGATATTCCGGAATACAATGCGCAATTTAACTATTTTCATCTGTTGTTGCAGAAATTCAAACTTTGAATGATAGAATAGTGCAGTCCATTGGATGTTTCAGGAGAAAGGAAGGGAAGCGACGACTCTTCAGGAATTTGAGCATCGGACGAGAGTTGCAGTCTCTGCAAGGCGGCGACAAGAACTCTTTGATGTGTCCTGCGAATAATTACCCTCTACTACGTTCGAACACTGGTCCAGCAGCATTTTCGTGTGAAGAGCCAACTCTGACGACAGATTCTGGTAATTCTTTGCCAGGGGTTGCAGTCAGTACAGACAGTAGTAGTAAAGTGTCTCCAGCTATTTCGTTTGATGACGAAAATCTTCCATTGAGCCCAGTTGCGATTTTGGTATCTTCAGACAGTGTAGACCAAGAGATCAAGTTAAGAAATTTTGCAACAGCAGAAAAGACAGAAAATGTGTCATGTAACGGAAACGAGTTTGATACTTGCGATTCTGATAGTACAAAGGTATCAGAATATTCAAATGAGCAGAATAACAGTAAAAACGAAATTGACCTTTGTGATGCTGATCTTGCGAAGATAACAGAAAATAATTCGAGTGAACCTTCAAATGAAGAGAGTTATGGTAAAAATGAATTTAATCTTTCTGATTCTTATTATGCAGCAATAACAGAAAATTCAACTGAACCTAGCGTCGGTACATCTGATTTAGAAATACAACACCTTCCGGACAAGTATCAATCGGAAAAAGAGAAAAGGCTGAAGCGTGATTTTATTGAAAACTACGAAAAAGAAAACATTTACCCGAATACGGAAAGAAACACAAATGTATTTGTTAAGTGTAAATTTAATTCCACAGAGTATACAGACCAGGAAAACACTGCAGCACCTGTTGTTGCAAACGTTATTTATAGTGATACATCATCAGCTGAATTGTCCAAAACATTAGATGAAACGTTTGTTTCGAAATCTGAGAATTCCATTCCTCAGCAATTGTATTCTATTGAAGGCAGTTCAAAATGTTTAACTACAAAAAAACCTTTAAAAAGGACTTCTAATTCTCAGTTATTACAGGATGTTAAAACATTTTCCGATAATTTCATAAAATCTGAAGATAAAGAGTGTAGTAATTATGTTCCTATTGTTGCTAATGAGAATACAGAAGCTGTGAACTATGATTTCTCTGCCCGGCTCTTCTGTCCGGAAGCTGTGAACTATGATATTCCGGAAAACTCTATACATTCAGAGTTTTTTTCCGCTCCTGATACACATCGTTCAGAATTGGATTTAAAATATGAAAACACTTCTCAGAGGGATTTTAATGCGATTCAAAATGAAAATAAATTTAAAAATGAAAGAGTTAAGAAACTTTTACATTCCAAATCTGTTTCTTTAACAAACTTTTTATCGTCTATGCTGCATAGCAAAGATGAAATACAGTCATTAAATTCAGCTGCTGGCCAAAATTTTATCTCATCTGACGTAGTAGAAAATAACTGTAATGGTTTGAAACATCTTTCAAAGCAATCCAATAATCGTGTTCAAAATATTGAAAGTGTTTCAAATGTTGCTCATCATCTTCAAGATGAAAATATTGCTAAAGACGTTTCAACTGTTGCTCATGAACCTCATGCTGAAAAACGCATTCCCCAAATCTCACCTAATCTTGCCACTAATCAAATGTTTCTTGAATGTAATACGTGTTGTGATAATGAACAATTTAATAAACTTTCTAGTCGTAAACGTCGTATCCTAAGAAGAATGTCGTCATCATTACAGTGCCCCGAGTTTTTTGAAGCCAGTGTTGATTTGCAAGAATCTGTATACACCGATATTATAACAGATAATGATTCTTTGGGGAATGAAACCTATCTTGCCAATGAAAATCGCCAAAACCTTCCTCTTAGAAAAGTTAAATCTCTTCCTTGCGGTTCAGATCTTCAAGAAACTCGTGTTTTTGCCCAAAAGAGAGGGTTTTGCGGTTGTGAACTCTTAAAACGTAGCTATTACAGAAATGCATCCCAGAATGATAATACATTTCATGAAAACGATACAGGGAACAACTGCAGTCCCCAGTTTTATCGTCAACCAAAATCTGTTTCGAGATCAGCTCGAAAGAGATTTCTTTCGTGTCCTTCATCTAAATTAAAATTTAGTTTTAGTTCTAGCGACAACTTAAAAGATTTGTCTCAGAATTTAAATCTAGCTAAATGTGAATGGAATTCTAGTCCATCTCTAAATAGTTGCAATAGTTCAAATAAATTCGATTTTACGAAAACGGTTCCTCAGTCTGGAAACTGTCGGATGGACTGCCCCATCAGACCATATTATTCTTGCACAGATTTTGAAATTAATAAAGAAGAATTTTTTGCAGCTAAAGGCTGGAGTTCAAACTCTTGTAGAGATCCTGTTTCCACTGCTCCATTCATGTCCCCAGTACAGACTAACGATATTTTTCCATCTGGAACTACTTCAGACAATCGAAAATATCCACTATGGTCTTCCACACCAAATATCAACTTAGCTGCTTCAAAAAATGCTTTCACATCTGCATTAAATTCAACAACGAACGCATTAGAATCAAAAAAATGTATTACGGATTGTCGGGCATTTAGACCGAGATTGCATAGATGGGACTCCTCTTCAATGCCAGCAGTTGATGAATCTTCATTCCAAGACGAAGTATTCAACACCAGGGAGTTGGATACATATTGCTGCTTGCATCAAAATTTACCGGAGTTCAGATGTAGAAAACGCGAGTTTTTAAATCCCCAAAATGGTATAAACAATAGAAATGGTAATGACACTTCTCGTACAAAATCGTTTGGCAATCATTCGTGTAAGAATCATTGTAGCCGCGAGTTTGATACAGATTCTTCTAACTTCCATAATTCGTTTTCTTCAGACTCCTCTCTGTTTCGAAATAGTTGTAGCTTTGTTAATCTTCCGAAACATTTTACTCAAAGTAATGGTGTTAGTTGCCCGCTTTGTATTTCCAGGTCATTGCCTCTTCAGCAAAGAAATGGGCATGAAATGATATATCCGTCACTTACGACCCCTCATACTACTACAATAAAGATGGCAGAAAAAATACTAGAATCCACGGAAGTCGATAAAAAAAATCAGTTATCTCCCAACAATAAAAGTGAAGCTTTGCTAGAGAGAAAAATTCGTGTGTTTTCTAAGATTCTGACTAGTTTAGGAAGTCTTTCAAAACTGTCTGACAGCATAGATAGAAGTGCATCCTGCGAGACAACAAGTGACGTTGCAGCAAAAAGACCTTTGGAGGATTCTGATAAGGTTTTAACAATCGTTAATCACAATACACAACGTAATGTAAAAGTCGAAGGGCAAAAGTTAACATCTTCTACCGAAATCGATAAATTGCTCTGCATATTGAAAACGTTAAACGCAAACCAGAATGGGAAGAAATGTTCTGTTGTGAGATCGGACACTTCAGATTTGTGTAATACAAAGGAATATAAAAGTATAGAAAATTTACCAAACACTGTTTATCGAAATGAAGTATCTTTAGAAGCGCCTTTTGACAAGAGTGGCGTTCGAAGCAGTTACAAGCCTGTTTGTTACACTTCTTCTGTTTCCTTCAGGATTAATATGGAGGAATGTAGCCCAGAAAGGTAATGTTTAATTTATTAAGAATGTTATTATATAAAATAAATATTATGAAAGCTGATTTTTCAAAAAGTATATTATCCCTTTCAGAATTATCATTAAACAATATCGAGTTTTTAAATGCTGATGGAAACACAGTGGCTCACATTTGTTTTCGCACATTTTTTTTTTTTTTTTAAATTCATTTGAATAAATCTTGTACTTAAATAGTGAAACTTAGACTCTAAATTTTTTCCTGGTGTGTTTCTCTGTTTCAGGATTTTATCTTACTTGTCACAAAATAAATATCATTAAAATATTCTTCGTGATAAAATAATTTAGCTCAAAAGTGTTTATCTGCAGCTCACTAATAATGCAACACTCGAAAGTTTCGTTGAGCTGTTTTAGAAAATTTTTTTTATATAAAAGTACATCGTAAGAATTATCGTCTGCATTACTCGTTTAACAAAATATATTAACACTTTACCGACCGATCGCCTATTAATCGGCTTTTTTTTGCCAACGCCTACCGACCGATAGCCTATTAATCACTTTTTTCTCATGGCTACCTAAAAGTAGCCTGGGCCCACCAGCGGCCGAGCGGTAAAGTCGCTGAACACTGGTAGTTCGGTCCGAGGTTCGAATCCCGCGAACGGGCATGCCTGCATGGGCGTTTTCGTGGTTTTCCCCATGTGTAACGTGTATACGAGCCAGTTTCCCTTAGAAAGTCCTCCACGAAGGCATCCCTCCCCTTAGCCAGATAGCCCTAGTGTGCTTTGCCATAATTAAATACACCAACACCAACACCTAAAAGTAGCCTATCAGTCAGTAGCCATGACGATAAACAATTGCATTTGCTATATCATCTGCATTTTATTATTAGGGAGAATCTGCGGCCGGGCGGACTTGCGTATGCTGTTGAACCTCTACCGGTCGGTAAAGTGTTAATAGGTCCATGTCTTAACTGAACATGGCAAGACGCTACAAATTAACGAAAAGTTCTATTCGAAATTTAAGTATTTAGGTGTGGTGTGGTGTATTTAATTATGGCAAAGCACACTAGGGCTATCTGCCTAAGAGGAGGGATGCCTTTGGAGGACTTTCTAAGGGAAACTGGCTCGTATACACGTTACACACGGGGAAAACCACGAAAACACCCATGCAGCCAGCCCGTTCGCGGGATTCGAACCTCGGACCGAACTACCAGTGTTCAGCGACTTTACCGCTCGGCCGCTGGTGGGCCCTAAGTATTTAGGATTTTAAAGATAATAAAAGTATTCAAAATGTTCTTGATGAAAATCATTTAACTACCTTTGATGTGTTAAAATGATGGAAATTGCACGGAACTGTTCGAAATCCACCAAACTTTGACCACTTTCCGAGTTAACACAAAGGAATCGGATATTTATTCTATGAAAAATCAAACAAAACCTAAAAATTAGTGCTATGAAACTTGCAGAGGATGTATAAGAATGGTTTTCAATAAAAATTAATCTTGAAACTGTTTAGAAGGTTCATTAGGGCACATGAATACAATGGGCGATCAGAAAAAAAAATTCTTCGTCAACAATAAAACAATGAAAATGCGCATTCCATTCTCAAAATCCAAGAAAAACAAAGATTCATCGTATTAAAATAATGCCACATTTGCAGACTAATCAGAATTGAATATATTCGGGTCCAATGGACGAATTGCTATGAGTCGAAATCCTAATGAAGAATTCAATCCGAGAAACGTATTGCTTACTAATAAACATGAAGGTGGAAGCATAATGCTTTTGTTATGTTTCACTGCATCTGGGATGGTTAAGTTTACTTTTTTTATGGAAAATATAGATCAGTGTAAGCATATAAATATTCTTAATGAAAATCTGAAAATATCTGTAAGAAAATTCATAACATAAAATACATTCAAGTTCTATCAGAATAACGATCCTAAACATGCAGCCCTAAAGGTTAATTTGTGGTTATTATACAACTGTGCCGAAGTTATCAAAACTGCTTTATATTCATCGGTCTTAAATGCTATTGACAAGGTATGGAGACTGTTTGAGAAAAGAATAAGTAAGCAGGATATTTCTTCGAAAGCTCCATTAAATGCAATTCTGATGGAATGAAACAAATGGAACATTATTACTCCAAAAATTGAGTTAAATCAATGCCAAAGCGCATGAAAAGTGTAATTTTAGCTAAAAAATACCTAACGAAGTATTGGAGGTCACGTTATTTTCATGCTTTTCTTAAATATAACTTGCTTATTCAAAGTGTACGAATACTTAAACGAGTTCGTAGTCACAGCATTTTGAATAAACTACTCCCTCCAGAAAAAAAAAAAAAAAAAGTTTAAAACAGCATTTTTGAAGCAAGCAGCTTTTAAAAAATATTATCATTATATACGCGGAAAAATAAAAAGTCTGTCATACATCGATCCTTTGATCAATTCATCTTTGTCGGTTCGTTTTCCATCCACTTATGAATGTTATTAGTCAACTCTATTTGCAGGAAATAAACTGGGACACTTATGCAGGTTTCAGAATAACATGAGCTATATTTTTAATTTTGTAAATACATATTAACTTTTCACAAAGTATTGTTTTTATTCACAATTTACATCAAACACACAAGTAATACATTGCACCTTCTCAGTTCTTAACAAAAAAAAAAAAAAAAAAAAAAAAAAAAAAAAAAAAAAAAAAAAGAACCAACTCAACTCTCGGAATACAGAAAAACTTAATTTCAAATTTTTCCTCACGAGCATGCCGTCCTTCTCGCATCAAGCACGTTTCTTCTTCTCGTTGCCAGATATTTTTCCCTCTCCTTTCAGATAAACTGTTTTTTTCACACGGTCATGCCTTCCTTCTCGCATCAAGCACGCTTCTTCTTCTCGTTGCCAGATTTTCTCCTCTCTCCTTTCAGCTATAAGTCGTTGGCTTAACTTTTCTTCTGGCAGGCTTGGTCGGTAGCATCCTATTAACGAGTATGTGCATGACACGCACGCCCCTGCCAAGAATGAAATTTGTCCTTACTTTGGGACGTATTTCATTAATCAATATCCAAGCAACTTTTCTGTACATTACTTTTACACAATACCAACCTCGTACAGTATTAAATAAAACAAAACAGAACAAACAATAAATTGATTACAACCATACAGAAAACAAAGAAAAAGAAAAAAAAAAAACAATCAAATTATATTACTCATATCATATCTGATCCAGGACGTGAGAGTGCATCTAGCACTTTGGTGCTGGATCCTTGGCCTATGACTAATTCCGCAAGTTCCATTTCTGCAATGCCAAAGCCCACCTCGTCAATTTGGGACTTCGAGGAGTAAGTTTCGTTCAAATATCTGAGAGGGTTGTGATCCGTTATAATTTCTACCTGAGCCCCATGGGTACATTTATCAAATTTATTCAGGCCAAATAAGACTGCCCAAGCTTCCTTCACATTTACATCAAACGCAACTCTACTCTCGGAATACAGCCAAACTAATTTCAAGTTTTTCCTCACGAGCATGCCTTCCTTCTCGCATCAAGCACGCTTCTTCTTCTCGTTGCCAGATTTCCTCCTCTTTCCTTTCAGCTATAAGTCGTTGGCTTAACTTTTCTTCCGGCAGGCTTGGTCGGTAGCATCCCCTTACCGAGTATGTGCATGAGAAAGTCATTCTTTAAACATTTAAAAGTAATTGATGTTTGCAAATAAAACTGAAAAAAACACATTCCGAAAACAAATGTAAGCCACTGTAATAGCGTTTGCATCAAGCCGTGACCGTGTATCTGTATTATTGCTATTTTATTTTCTATAGATTTACACAGTTAATTTTTGGATATTATGCAGTATGCTACATGAGAAAGATGGATATTTTATGAAAATTATTGCAAAGAAATTATAAAATTTTTCTCAAAACCTCCCCAAACTACGCTAGTGCTGTATTTTTCTCGAAATAAACTTCTGCAGATTCATAGCTTCGGCGGAGTGCCTACGATATGGGCTATTACTAGCTTTGATTTGATTTATATTTTCATTTTAAAATGAAATTTAATTAATCTTTTATTTTCCCATTAGCAACGGAAATAAAAGTCCCATTAGTGAGAAAATATTGCATGCTAATGAATTCAGAACCCCCTCTCCTCTTCAAGATCAGGTTAGTAAATATATTTACAAAATTCTTATTTTATATAATGTATTCATTTTAAAAATACAGTTTCCAAAACTTTGATTAAAAAATATCGTATAAATAACGCGTAAATCAAAATAATCGTTGGAAATCATGTTTAGAATTTATTCAATACTTTAAGTATTCATCACAGAATTAAGGATTATCAGTTTTATATTTAAAAACTCTGATGTGGATACCACATGACTTCCTCGTACGGCCTATTAATTTATACATAATTGTTTGCTGCATTTAATTTAAACTTATTTCCTCGAATTATTCGAACTTAATTAAATGATCAAGGCAAGTTGAAAATGACGTCAAAAACTGCAAAGTTTGAAACTAAATATTCCGAACAATTTTTGTCCCACGGGAATCAAACTTCTTATAATTTTATTTTTTCATAACAAGTATAAAACTTCCTCATATATAATCAATCATAAGAACCCGGAAAAAGTGTTAAAAGATTTCGTTACTTGTCTAAATTTCTTTTTTTTTTTTTAATTTGACATTGCCCAAACATGAATATTTTCGTCATTTAACGTCTATAAATGTCACATACAAAAATAATCAAAATGGATTCGGGAACCGTCAAAATGGATATTACAGTTGCTATGTGATAACCGAATTTTTTTTTTTTTTTCGATGACAATACTTTCTTTACTTTGAGGGACTTTACAAGGAACAAAAAAAGGTCGAATCAAGTAAATATTGAATTTTAAATAATTATATCTACTTAGACTTTTACTGCTAAAGTGTAGCTGTATATGTTACAATAAATATGAGTACTAATATCACGATGCTACCAAAATGAATGCCTTTCAAAGAAGTATGAAGGATATTTGAAAAATTCTGAAGACATTATATCCAACTATCAGTATTTGCTAAATCGTAAAAAATATTATATCGTATAATATTGTTACTAAACATTAGTCTCTAATGTTTTTTTAAGAAAACGCCGAAGTGGGGAAAAGAAGAACGTAAAATGGCAGTGCTAAATATCATGCAAGTCCGAAAAGCGAGAAACAAAAATAATCTGACCTTAAACTTGCTTAATAAGGATAGAAAAACATATTTTAAAGAATGATCGTATGAAAAATGTAATATGTACAATAAAATAAATATCTGATGTGGACACCACAAGACTTCCTTGTACGGTCTATTAAATTATACCAATTTTTTGCTGCGCTTCGTATAAACTTAGTTCCTCGAATTTCCTTAGAGATATATTTCTCATTCAGTTAATTCAGTTCTCACTTCGCGGCAAGGCAAAAATATATATAAACTCAAAGCATCTTCATTAAAGTTTCTAAAATACAAGAAATTCATACGTACAGATGTCAGCAAAAAAAAAAAAAAAATCATTCAAATGAATTCGAGAGCAGTTCAAATCTATATTTTCGTTGAAATGTGATACCTGAAATTTTTCGCGATTACAATGTTTTCTGTAGTTCGTACAAGAAAGTAATAAGGAAACACAGTCCCAAGAAAATTGTGTTATAGAGGGAATTACAACTTCTTAATTACTGAGCATTTCTTAAGCAAGTTTAAGGACAATTAAAACCGAATCAGATATTTCTTTCTTTACGGTTTTTGGCACGGAGACATTTAAAAACTAATTTTTTGATAAAATTTAGAAACCTATTTTGGAAACTTATTTCTTTTTTCGCCAGACAAATTCCAATTACTTCACGAATATTCAGGTCAAATTTCAGGTCATTATGAACCGTGATTCCTTTTTTTACAGCATTTTGAAAACAGGACTTTAATTATAATCTCCCTATATAGACAATCTTTTAACACCGCGTAACTGTTTCAAAGGATGCTGCCCCTGTATTTTGATAACTGACACGTAGATCTTCATATAAAATGTGTTTCAAGTGATTCTTTTAATCGATTTCAGCATAAAAATATTTTTGTGTCAATGAAATGGTAAGCATCTTTCTTATGTTTAGCTTTGTGAAACTCTCTCGACCTACTTTTACGGGACTTTGTATTGGGCTGCGATCATGTCTCGGCGTTCTGCCATTATTCGCAATCTTCTAATCACATTCACGTGTAAGATAAGACCTGCGAAACTATTCGAAAACGCAGAATGCGTGAGTTGTTTGTTATGCGGTCAAAATGGCGTCAATAATTATCGCTTGCCATAATACCCATATTTCGCGATGCTGATAGTAAAAGAATTTAATAGCAAGTGAAACTTTGATTTAAACCACGAAGTAAAAAAGTGGTGTGAAAATGATATTTTATTAATATGTTACTGTCAGTTCTAGTCATCACATCCTTTTCTCTTAAATGCGACTTGTAAAGTTGGATTAGGTATGAATCAAATTTCAAGACGAACATGTTAAAGATTACTATGAATGTATTGTTAATTGTTGACAAATGATATGCTATGTCTTAGCGAGCAGGTCATACCGAAAGCTTTGAATTCGTTGTACCGTAGAGTATTTATTGTAATGTAAAAATTCTGATGTTAAAAAGAATCTTATAATAATCTAAAAGTTCTGTTTTGCTTCTTGATATAAAAAAGAAATATGAAAACATAATAAATACTTAATAAAAAATGTCGAGTAATTCCTCATATGTAATTTCAATACACGCATATTGCATCTACAGTATTTTAGAACTAAATTCATACAAAATTGAATGTTGAATAAAACAACTTTCTTACCATTTAATCTTTAGTATACGATTTTTGCAAGTCCACAACAACGTTTGGCACACTTATAACGCTGCTTGATTCCTCCGCAGATCTTTTTGTTTTAAATGCGCCAAGTCTGTGGTTGTGAGATACTAATGTTCTTCAATGTTATTAAAATAATAGCTTTTCAGAACAGACATCACTTTAGGGAAGAAAACCTAATGTATAGGTGCTAAATCTGGTGGATAAAGGGAGTAGTTGAAAACTGTGACACTTTTGTCTGCTGCTTAACAAGATTGGAATTGTCAGAGCATTGTCCTTCAACAGAAACCAATCATTCGGCATTTTGTGGTCTAATGCACGAAAATGTCTTCAGAAAGTTGTTCTACATACTCTTACAAAACATGAGATTCATCTTCTGTCCTTCAGAAATAAGAACTTTGCGAAATCTTTCTGGTCAAAAATGATACTGACCTTTTTTTAATTAGACAGAAACTCTGATGGATAAGGTCTTTACTCGAAATTTCTGAAGCCGAAGTCTTTGTGGTTGTAGTAAACTTTTTATAATCCAAACAAATGACTCAAAGTAATACCGGGGGACAAAAAAAGGCATATTTTAAATTTTTTTTCAACTATTATGGAATATTATGTATAAATATATATCTCAAGTAGTATTATTACATTTTATTCCAATTAATAAAATCAGGCGCCCCTCAGTGGTCGAGTGGATAATATCGTCAAAAATTGGTAAACTTGTATTTGAGCTTGTATTCTAGCAGTATTATTATATACTGCTATAAATTCTATCTGTATGTTACAGAAATTTGATTTTATTCATTTGAAGCTAGCCGCTATGACTGCCTTACCGAAGAGCCTGGGTTCGAATCCCGGAGAAGGTATAGATATAATTTATCTGTCTCCTCACAGGAGGCAAAGATGGCCCACTTGTTAGGTGCCTCCATAATAAAGTGACCACCACTTTCGGCCTTAGTAGTAGCCAACGTCTGTGGACGGCTTATGCCTGCCAATGGGGGGAGAATTCATTTGAAGCATATAGAATGACAATGATATTTTCAATGTATGTGAACATTCCCTTATAGTGGATTTAAAGTTAATTTTGATGGAAACACGTTTCTCCATTTTAAGAAGGTCTTATTTATCTGTTCTGTGTCCTCTGATAAAGCATTGAAGTTGCAACAAAACACTAAAAATATGAAAAAGAGAAGAAAGTGTTTATACTAAAAAGAAGTCTACCTTGTTTTTGACGTTTCAGAATTATTTCATTTATAGTATTTTATTCAATTAAAGTTATAGAGTCTCAAATTCTTGAGAAGCATGCACTAAGTCCAGACTCTGAAGAACTATGAGAATAATCACTATGTCTTTTTAATCAAATAGAGAAATGTGTAAAAGTCTCCTTTGTTAAGAACTCAGAAAGTTGAATAGAAGGCACTCTTTTTGCTTACAAAACCAGCCAGCATTTATGGCGTAACTAAAATATCAGGAATTGCAATTTAAAAGTATGCTGGCTCATAAGTGCACAGAAATGATTAACGCTGAAGTTGGCTCAAACTTATACCAGCATGATAAGCACTATTGGTCAGGATAAAGCAACTTCAAAGACAGACTGCTATCATTATATATTTGTATATGACAGCTGTCTGTTAAGGAAAGAATAAATGCCTACCAGCAGCCGAGCGGTGGGCCCTTTAAAAAGGGCCGAGCAGTCGCTGAACACTAGTTATTCGGTCTGAGGTTCGAACCCCGCGAATGGGCTGGCTGTATGAGCGTTTTCGTGATTTTTCCTACGTGTATACGAGCCACTTTCCCCTAGAAAGTCCTTTATAAAGGCATTCCTCTTCTTAGGCAAATAACCCTCGAGGTATTGCCGTCATTACATAAAGCAAACCAAACCAGCCTGTCTAAAAAGATTTTTATTTAAAAAGTGACGTTTAAGTGGCCGTTACCGACGCTGTTTCTCGGTGACCATTCACTGGGGAAGAGTAGTTGTTTATTGGAACACAGCTTACACGCTTACAAAAACGTTCTCCGTAGTGACGAAGCCGCTTCAGCTTGACGATAAACCATAACAATGTTTGTAGAGTCATTAGGATATTTTGAAGCAGGAGACATGAAAGATGTGCAGTGCCCTCGTAGAGACTCGAACTTTGACTTCTCAAATACGAGCCGAGTATGCTACCGTTACAACATGAAGGCATGCAGAAAGATGGTAAAAAATACCTTACATAGCCCTCCTTTTAAAAGTCGACTGGGGATTAGGGGACCCAGTTGCCAAATTCTGGTGGTGAAGAATCACCATCCTTTTAGTGCAAGCGCCACTGTGGAGTCATTAGGTTATTTTCGAAGCAGGACATAGAAAAAATGTGCAATGTCCTCGCCGGGTCTCGAAGCTGTATCTCTCAAATACGCGCCGGGCACACCAGCAGCCGAGCGGTAAAGTCGCTGAACACTGGTAGTTCGGTCCGAGGTTCGATTCCCGCGAACGGGCTGGCTGCATGGGTGTTTTCGTGGTTTTATCCATGTGTAACGTGTATACGAGCCAGTTTCCCTTAGAAAGTCCTCCACGAAGGCATCCCTCCCCTTAGGCAGATAGCCCTAGTGTACTTTGCCATAATTAAATACACCATTAAATACACCAAATACGCGCCGAGTGTGTTACCATTACAACCCGAAGGCATGCAGAAAGTAGGGCGAAAATAGCTTACTGTTCCCTTTGTCGGAGTGAATACAGCCTTTCATCTACCTCTGATACACCTTACAGCGGTGTGAACCACGAAGTACGTATGTACACCACGAATTAGTGCGCACAACAAAGGAACAGAGAGTACATATCTCAATTCTATGGTCGGAAGGTGTACCAGGGGTTAAAATTCATAAATTCATCGGAAGATGCTGCTGCTCTCACTCCTGCTTGTTTTATCATTAAGCACTATTTTCTTCGCACTTAATATACCTTATATGATACAACAAAATTACAAAACATTTAGAAGCAGCATATGTTTAGAATTCCCGATGCAATTTTTATTATTAACATTTTGTGTGTTTACTTTATTTATTAAATATCATGTTCTTTGAACTTACGTCACATAAACTTCAATTCAAGATCAAAATCACAAAGCGTTTAAAAACAGCATATCTTTAGAATTTTCGATAGACAGTCTCGGGCGCTTGGAGATAAAAATATTTTATTCCGTACATGATTCTCACTACTCGCTCTCAAATCGTTCAGGTTGTTAATCAAAAATTCATTAAAGTTTTACAAAATATGATATATAAAATTCGAAATTGAAAATTCGAGCTTCCAGGTACACATTTTCTGGTGGAAGAAAACGTTATTCAAAATTTCTGGCTTTATGTACCGTCGTTTTCTCGCAATATGAGGAACATACACACACGCACACATGCAGATTCTTCATTATTTAATTTTTTTAAAGATAATACAGAGCGATAGGTTTTGGTGGCAACAATTTGAAATGTGATTCTCCTTTTATAGTGGACGGTACAAAATCTCGTTTCGAGACTAATGGCCAGTCGGGCTAATAAATACCAAAAACTGTAACATTTTCCAGAATAACGAAGTATAATAATAATGACCTTCCAGTTTAAATTTAAAATGAGAGCTAACAAAATGATTCTTCGTGCGTATTGAATAACTTTTAAGGCTTTCGGCTTTAAAGTTCAAGGCTTAACTTTAAGGCTTTCGGTTTTAAAGTTCAAGGCTTAACTTTAAGGCTTTCGATAACAGTGTTCACTAAATGATTTTCATTATTTTGGGAAAATACTCAGAATTGTGATATCTAATAATATAAAGCACAATGTTGAAAAGAATATTTACGTTGCTGATCGAATCTCCAATCGTAATAAAAGCAAAAGATTCAGAAAAAGGCAAAACGTGATAACCATAATAGAAGAGTCTTTTCCCGAGCAGTTCTTAATGTCTTAATTTACAACTTAAAAGCAATCGATTTACTATTTTTACCCCCGGTTCATTAAGTGCCAATAATCTGGAGCAATATATTTTAAAATGAGAAAAAAAGGCGAGTATGGAAGGATATTGATGATACTGAAGAAATATCCGAGGAAATGAAACTAATTATGCTCTGATTATCATTTGGAACTTGAGGAAATAAACTGAGATTACTTGATGAAATAAGGATCTTCAATTAAGTTACAATAACACGCCGAATAAATACTAATTCAGAAGTCAAACAACAAAAATCAGCGTTATATTTACAAAATTTTCACTAGTTTCGATGATTTTACCGAACCATCATCCTCAGCTGCAAAACCGCAAGGTGGTTCGGTAAAACTATCGAAACTAGTCCTGTGAAAATTTTGTAAATATAACGCTGATTTTTTTTGTTTGACTTAGTAAGGATCTTCATTGGTGATTCATTGGTGATTAGTAAGGATACTTCAGTGGTGTGCTCTGTGATATTCCACTTCTTATAGATCAGGTGATGATATGTTGATTACATTTTGTTTCTAATGAATTTGCTTTGAAGGTTAGAACTTTTTTTTTTTTCTAAAAGAAGCTCTGGCACTATTTAGAAATTAATTCTCACTATTTAGGAATGCAAGACATGAAATTACTTTTCATTTGTTCAACTCTTGTAGCTCTCAGCACATATTAATAAGTAATGATTGATAAGAGGCTGTTAAATTATTTAATAATTTCTGTTTTAATTTGTTCACAGATGCCGTTCAGGGAAGTTTCGAAAGACCTTGAAGAGCTTCAGAAATCAATAAAAAAGGCCAAGGAGACTAGAATTGTAAGTATGCCGGGAATTCAGATGAGCGTACAGACACGAAGACGTGATAAAATTAGCTAAAAATATTAATTTAGATAGCTATCGCTATATTTTTAAACAATATTTCCGAACTTGATATCATATTTAATCCAATCCTTTAATTGTTTTATTAAATAACCAAGTTTAGCGTTATTCAATAAAAGAATTATATTATTAAATAACACATTTAGTGACATTAAATATGTCAATATAAAAAATAATAAATCAATTAAATATGTATTTTATGAAATAATACGTTTAGTCTTATTGTATTACAAAGTTGATTTCTTTATGGTTTATCTTATGAATAATTTATTGAACTTTAAAGCAGTTAAGGTTCATTATAGGAAATATGTTTCGAAATTATATGCTGTTTAATTTTCTCGCTTTATCTTTAAAGGCATTTGAGCATATATGCTGATTCACAAGTTTATGCATTTTTTTAATTATTTTGACACAGGTAACAATTATATTCAGCGAACATTTAATGTTTTCAGTATTAAACCAATCGTACAATGCATCAGTGATGTATTCTGCTCATTCTCATAAACTCTCACCCTACTTCCTATAAGAATTTTCGGATGTTATTTTTGTAAAAACCTCGTTAGTTTGAATGAGTAAATAGCATCCAGAAAAGTTTTCAGCTGATCATTATTTTCGAAGGATCTGGCACGAAGTGCATTCGATAGTGATCTGGAGAGATGGTAATTTGTTGTTGCTATATCTGCGAAATCAGCCGAATGTGGGAGAACCTCTCAGTTAAACTGCTGAATGGCAACTTTTATTATGTACTAGCAGCTTCGCTGCCAGCCTTCGTCTGGCTTTTAAATGTACCGGAAAAATGGCTGAAGGAACACCAAACGTTAAATTTAAAAACTGCATAGAATTTTACTCTGCAGAAAAACTTCATAAAAAAAGTTATTACGTATAACAAAATTACAATGAAATAAGCAATATCCCTTAATACAAATATTAATTATCCTAATAAATATATTAACCAACTTCCCTTTGCAAAATCTTAAGAACTCAAATGATATAAAGGAGGTTAAGAACTTTGTTTCCTAAAAAAATCACTCAAAACTTTTCACTATCTCAAAAATTGTGAAATGAGCAATAAATAACATAAAAGAAAGAAAAAAAATTCTGAAAAGCAAAGTATAATTAATGATATTTTATCTTATATTTTCAAGAGAAAAAAATTAGGTGCTACTTTGGTAGACGGTTGCAGGGATTTTTGGCGATTTACATTGGCGCAATTGTTGGCGCGGTTTTTACAGTCATCAGCCATCTTGAAAAATGCTGTTTTTACGTATATAGTAAAGTATTCGAAACATTAAAAAAATAAATATCGTTAAAAATAATGGATAAATTTTTTGTTGAAAACGTTGTTTTTTAAGATGGCTGGTAAATGTAAGTAAATGCATTTACTAAGAGTATAAAATGCTAAAGTAAGGTTAAATTATTACTTTCATATAACAGAATAAAAACACTGCTATAAAAACATTGCGCCAACATTTAATTGGATTAAAATATTACTTATATTAAATATCGAATTAAAAACATCATACCAACGTTTAAAAGAATTAAAATATTACTTTGTAGGGTTTATATTTATTTTAACTAACATTTATTTTAAGTTTAAACTATCTTTCCTGTCAAGCCTTACTTTCCCCTGGAATTGCCAATGCCAGAGTATGTAAATTTTAGTAGAACGCGCAAGGATTCAAATTGTCAGCGGAAGTAACCTGAGTTAAATAGAAGGGAAACGAGTTCGAAAGTGTGCTTTCTTGCTTCACGAGCGTGGAGGTGGCTAGTTAGAAATTGAAGAACCACGCGTTTCGGCCTGTGTGCTTGCCTCGGCAGATTGTTAATCTTTCAACGTAATATTCAGAAGTTTGCGGAATTATCAGCGGTATCTTAGAACGCGGTGAGGTTAGTTACGTTTAGAGAGCCTCGTAGTTCGTCACTTGTTACTATTCTTTTTTTTTTTTTTTTTTTTTTTAGTTTCTTATTTTTATTTTACCGCCGGGTCGGCGTAGTTTGTGAGCGTCAAGAGCACTCATTTGTAATTTCTAAAGTTGAATAAAAAGGAATTTAATTTAAACCCTTCTCAAGACTTTGTTTACTTTCCAGTTCTCAGCAGTCACCACTATTGTTGCGTGCAGGTTGGAAGCGCGCAACATTACATTGGCGCCCGAACACTTGTCGAAGTGAAATGGCCAAAAATTGGATGGAAGCTGCGGGACAACAACAAGAAATGGCAAGCCAATTGGAAGGATTTGGATACCTGGTCCAGACGATGAGAGCGTCAATCAAGCCAAACGTCAATTTCGACGGAAAAAATTCGGTGGCTATGTTTCTAGAAGGCCTAGAAAATAACTTCCAGCTCTAACCTGTGCCTGAAAGACAAAAAGTTGCCATCGCCACATCTGCACTAAGAGGACAGGCCTCGCTATGGTGGAAGAATATAGGCAAATTTTTATTAGGGGAATTCGGAGGACAGACATATACATTTGAAAATTTCAAAAAATCGTTATTAAAGGCCATCCCCATAGTGAAAGACCGAGCAAGGCTAGAAGCCGAACTATATAGTTTTTATCAACGGAATATAGAAGAGTTGACGGACATTATTCTGCGAAAAATTAAGCTGACGGATATGCTGTATAGGAAGAAACCCGACGCGGAGATTATTGAAATAATCTTACCAAGATTGCTACCTGCTGTTAAAGATTACTTCGAAATTAGAAACCCAAGCACATTGCAGGAGCTCTTCGAATTGGCGGTCAAGTTCCAAAATCGCAGAATAGCGGAAAAAGCCAGAGGGGCATCGTATTCTCAAAGTATCCGAAGGCAATCTTCAAATGAGCAGACCAGAAATGCAAACCGCTCTTATGGGGGAAAGAGCTATCAAGCTAACTCATCGAAGCTCGAAGGTCAAGGCCCAAAAAGGAAATTTGAAAAACAACCGTCCGCGTACCCAGAAGGCAGAAGGCAGAAGTTGAAAAGGAAAGCTTTAAACGAGAGTAGAGGGGCCTGTGAAAGCGAGGGTCCAGACCCCGGAAGTTTTGAAAAAAACCCTCAAGAAGACACTTAAATACGGTCATCGTAAAGAACTCAAAGTTACCAATTATACAAGTCCTGGTTGTCGATGTACCAGTAGAAGCCCTCATCGATACAGGAGCAGAAGGTAATTTTATGAGGGATATTTTTTTTAAGAAGAACTTTAATAGGTTACGATTATTTAAAAATAAAAACACAGAAATCATAGCAGCACAAAGACAAACTTGTCAATGTATCGGAAAACTATCTTTAAAGATACAGATTCAAGACGAAAGCCTTAACGTATTAATTTTTGTAGTAAAAAACTTGCAAAATCCACTTATTTTAGGTATGGAGTTTTTAAGGGCCACGAGGGCCAAACTCAATTTTCAGGAAAGTGCTATCGTGCTGGAGATGGATCGGAGGGTGGTGGAACCAGTGGAACAACCGCAAGTCGACCTTAGCCATTTGAATGACCATGAAAGTCAAGCCATCCAGCATGTGGTGAGTACTTTTTCAAACTTGTTTTCAGAACGTCCTGGTAGTTGTCAAATAGTTACGCATGAGATGCTGTTAACTGCCGACAAACCCTGTAGGACTAAACCTTACCGCTATGATAAACAGAAAGAACAAATCATAGAAGAACATATTCAGGAAATGTTAAAGAATCAAATAATAACGCCCATAAATAATGAGTACGCGAGTCCAGTCGTACTATGTAGGAAAAAGAACGAGTTTCCTACTTCGGATAAAAGGGCTTGGAGGTTTGCTATCGATTACAGAAAACTTAATAGTATTACTAAATTTCCAGTTTACCCTTTGCCGGTTATAGAGGAAATCATTAGAAAGATTAAATCTACAAGATACATGACTACTTTGGACTTAACGTCTGGCTACTATCAAATAGCTATGAGACCCGAAGACATACATAAAACCGCGTTTATCACAAAATCGGGCACTTATGCATTTTTACGCATGCCCTTTGGGTTGTATGGGGCCCCGTCAACATTCCAGAGAGCTATGGACACCACCTCCCAACACTGCCAAGAAACTCTCTTCTTTCCTTGGGTTATGTTCTTATTATCGGTCATTCATAAAAGATTTTGCTAATATTGTTGAACCCTTGTTAGTAATTAAAAGAAAGAAAAGTAAATTCACGTGGACAGCGGAAGCAAATACCGCATTTGAAAGGTTAAAAAAAGCGCTCATCAATGCCCCTGTTTTGAAATTCCCGGAGGGGGAACTGAAAACCTGGAAATTGCAGCAGATGCGTCGTCGGACTACTATGCTGTGGGTGCGGTTCTTATGCAAAATGGGCCATTCCTTTGGCATTTTTTAGTAAAACGTTGAATTCATACACAAAGGAATTATACAGCTACAGAGAGAGAAACATTAGCCGTATTAATGGCTGTACACAAATTTCGGCAAAGCGCCAGTAACAGTCTTTTCGGATCACGCGGCTGTTAGTAGACTTTACTCGGGGAAAAACCTAACGCCCAGATTAATAAGATGGGCTTTAAAACTCCAAGAATATAATCTCATAATCAAATATAAACCGGGTAAGGAAAATAATGTAGCTGACGCACTTTCTCGTATAAAACTGGACGATGAAGGCAATGAACTTAAATGTGCTGTGTTGACTTCAAAAATTTTTTAGATTCTAGAGATACAATTATTGCTGAATGATGAAAGCTGATCCTGAATTTGGAAGTATCTATGCATATTTGAAAGACCCCGAAAGCTTTGAGCACACAGATATCGATGCGATAAGAAATAGAGCAGAAAACTATGAAATAATAGATAATTTATTATTTTGTACGAAAACAACAAACGAAAATCTCGAGTACAAACTAGTCATCCCAGCCTCGCTTCGATTAAGCATTTTGAAGGAATTACACGACGCGAAAACAGCGGGTCATTTAGGGGTCAGAAAGACTTTAAAA